ATTGGAATAGTCTGCCCAGGGAGGTGTTTGAGTCACCATCTCTGGATGCATTTAAAGGCTGTTTAGATGTGGTGCTGGGTGATATGGTTTAGGGGTGAGCTTTGTAGACTAGGGTTCATGGTTGGACTCAATGATCCCAGGGGTCTTTTCCAACCTGAATGATTATATGATTCTATGATTCTATGAATTAGCCCGAGGGTGCTGCAGGTGGCTACTTTCAGCTAGATCTGGATGTAGAAATGGCTTGCCTCTGGATGGAGTGTGCTAGGGAGGGCAGCTGCTTTCTTGATCCAGCCTGTGACCATCTGCATAATTCTGATTCCATGGAACTGAAGCTGACTGTCAGCTACAGTAGTGCCAAGTAAGATACCATTAAGTATGAGCTTGCTGCTGCCTCATTCCCTCTTGCACTTCTTTATACATGTGGTATTTTTTCCCTTTTTAAAAATTACATCGTTCCTGTTTAGTTTGCTTTTCTTAGGCATTCTGAAGCCTGCTAAATTTTATTTATCACTCTTAATAGTTAGATGTCTCATTTTAGTGATATATATGATTACACGCGAACTTTTTGATTAACGCTTTTCAGTAGGCTTCTGTGTTCTCTGTTGATTCTTGCTTCCTTTTTTCTGCCACTTTTCTCTAACGTTCTGAAATAGTAGAGTACAAAATGCGTGACCTTTTACTACTTGTGGAGAAGTTTGAGCTAAAGAAAATCCTAAATGTTGTTTAGCACAGGGGGAAGTCCACTACTGGCTTTGATCATTGTCTGAGATAGTTGGGGGCTGCTCAATGCTGGCAGGCTTCTTAGCAGCCAAGAATGACAAAGCAGTGCTGTTGCTGGCTGGTTCATAGTCTTGATGGACTGCCTTTTGTAGATTGTAAAAACTGTGAAAATCAGGTAAATGAAGTAAATTCTACGAAATGCTTAGGGTTTTGCCAGCCTCCAGTTTAGATAGATCTCCTCTGTCTAATACTGGAGGACTGCTATACTTGGTCAAGCAGTGAATACTTGTGCTGTAATCTGGTGAGGGGAAATGAATAAAAGAGACAGCAGGTAATCCACAACAGGTTGGATATTTTTACTTTGTTATCTGCCTGTGCTTTAAAGAAAACCTCCAAGAGTTTGAACTTTTTTGATAGGGATTGGTGGTGGAGGACATGCTGGGTGCTGTGAAGCAAGTCTCACCATCAAAACAGTTCTCAGAAAGACGTGGAATAGGAAATTGTCCCTTGAGGGCCTGGCTGAAGGCAGATTGCTTTCCACGCTGCAAGGACAGTGTGTGTCCTAAGTATATGCATTTGTAGATATCTCTGGAGGCTCGGTGTTTGGGCTGGGCAACAGCGACTGGATCTTGAATTCAAGACCACTTGAAGAACATGAGCGGCTGTCTACCTTTATATTGTTCCTGTTATGTGCCCATGTGACTGGGATCTGGAACAAGCCTTGTTTAAAGATAAGAAAAGTTCTAGTTGTCTTTCTCAGTCTGACAAAAGCTGTTTAGGATGGGCCACCGGGAGGCCCCTTGGTTCTACGTAATCTATTGTATGGCTCTTTTGCAGGAAAGCCTCCCCATCCCACCACAGAACTAAAGATCAAGTGGGACCTAACCACTAACGGATGGGTGGTTCTGCTCTTTGAAGACTCCAGAAACCATCTGGGTTTTCCAGATATCTACTGTAGAGTTACAACACTTCCCAAGATTGTAGTTTCATGCTTTTAAGATTAAACATGTGCAGGAAGTTGACATCGTAAATCAGTATCGAAGATTTAAACCACTTCCTTTTTTTGTGGATATGCACTGATAAAACATTACTTGAATTACTTTGTAATTCAGACTTTACACAGTAGTAAGCTTTGGATCACCGTATATGAAAGTGTGTTTTAAAACCCCTCCCCCACCCCAGAAAGCAGACTTTAAAATAAAATCCTTTTTTTTAACCATCAAATGATGACCTGCCATTTGGATACTTTTAATCCTCAATCTGTATAAAAGTTATGTCTTGCCTTAAATCCTTTATGATTTTTTTTTCCTGTGGATTTCTGAAGTAATCCTCTGTGTGCCATACAGCTTGTTCTTCAAATTGCTTGCATACAACCTCCTTGTTTCTATGAGTCCTGTTTAAAAAGTTTTAAAACATTTTTACACAAAATTCAGCTGGATATACATTTCTCATGAGAAGTCAGCATTACACGTTGCGTGTTTTAGCCTATTGAAACTGCTCAGTACTTTCTGTAATTTAGTCAGTGACCATGAGTTAAGTGGGACACTTGGCAGGGGAGTCGATGATGTGCTTGGTAATGGGTAAGAACTTTTTATAATGGCTTCTGTTGGAATTTCTTTCCTCTTCAAGATTTTAAAGGACAAAAAGAATCCATTCAAAAGGAAGTGTGTATACTCACAGTTATGCCAGTAGATAGATGTAACTGGACTGTTAATGATGTACTGAAATATATTTTCATTTCTGTATCTCATGTTGCATGCACTTGCCATGTTTTTTTTTGTCACAGCTATGTACCTTAAATGTAGAATATGTAGTGAGAGAGTCCAGCATTTCCTCTCTGGCTTATCATATGTCTTTTTAGAATATTGTACTTAAAAAATAAAATTAAAAAAAAACACACAGAAAAATCTGATTTAAAAAAAAAGATATAAAACTGCTTGACATTGGCCATGTCTTGTTGTCGTTATTTAACCAGGTAAGGATTTATTCTAACCCTGTAATATGTCATGATAGTTGATCTCATTTCACTGTGAGCACCGTACAAGACTCTCATTCTTGCTGTTCGTGTGGCAATTCTTGCCTTCCTTCCCCTCACTCTACGTCACGTGTATCGGTGACGTGAGAGGAGAGTTCTTCCATCACAGGACGAGTCCAGTGGCCCCGTTCAAGTGATGCAGGGCTACAGATGTGGCGCTGCTGTAACCAGTGGCAGTGGTGAGCTGCGGCGTGTGGACAGGAGCGGGTTGCTGATGTGGGGAGCCGAGAGCCTCGTAAGGTGCTTTTGCTGCTGAGGCTAATGCCATGTGTAAATATATCCTCAGCGCCCCCGGCAGTACTAGAGGGCTCGGGTTCTGCTCTAAGTCCCAGTCACCCTGTGCTAGGCTGGTGCTCTGTGGCATCTCTTCTCTCATGTTTTCCAGTCTCGTGCTAATTGCTCTAAAGCAGACTTACCTTTCCATGAACTTGAATAAATCACTGTTGGTTCAAATCACTTGAGTTAACAGGATCTTGTCTGACATCATTTTAGTCAGGATTGTGAAGCTGCATTTGAAAGGCACCTTGTTCCCCATGCATTACACCTGTGCTGGTGATAGGACTGCTCTGAATGTGCACAAACTGTATGTACCTGAGCCTCTCCTAATGTTGTGGAGAACAAATCCTTCTGTAAGCACTTCTGTGAACACTTCAGTGACCGAGGCTTTGACCAACTGGTAGATCTTAGTAGTGAGCTAACTAGAGGGCAATATTACGTTTGGGATAAGTGGCCACTGTACCAATGCTTACTGGAATTGAGGTGAGGGCACTGATGTGAAACCTCTAATATTTTGAAGGAGGAGGATGGAAAATTAGCGTGGTGACAGTGAACAAGAGGTGTTATCTAAGATGTTAATATCTTGCCTTTGAGAAATCTATGTGTTGTAGCTTTAGCAGTGTCTGGGTCTTTTGGATTCTTTGGTGTTGTTACAAATACCATTTTATAAATGTGTCCTTGAGATGGAGAATGTTTTTGTTATTGTTTTTAATATCTTAATGTCTGATCAATTTTTATCAAAGAATGTGTAGCAACTGGATTAAAAATAAGGCTGCAATATTAGTCTCAAACAACCTAGTTTATAGATCATCTTTCTCCCTTCTTGCAGAAGGGGAAGCTTTTAGCCACAATCACTAAATTTTTATAAAATAAGGTTATGACTAAGTGTTCATCTGCAAGTCAGAATATTCTTTTGATGCTAGCATCTAAGACTTTTATGAAAATGTCTCAATATTTATTTTTTGAAAGAGATTCTCACTACTTTGTTTTAGTATTTTTTTTTGGTTTAGTGAGTTTGTTTACTGATATTTAATTTAGTGTAAAATATCCGAGGGACTCAAACTAGGTCTTTTATTATGCTTTCCTAAAGGCCATTATCTTACATTTTTTCAGCACCACAGTCTTTAGGTAGGTAAGATTTTTCCAGTTAAAAAGGGCATTGATAATAAAATAACACAAGCCTTTTCGTTAGCTTGAAAAAACTTAAGCTGTAACATTAAATAATGTTTACTTCAAAATAGTTTAAAGTATGTCTCAATTCTACTTATGCACATTTTAGTAAGTTTTAACTGAACACTGAAACTGATTTTTTTTAATGCATATCTTTAATTTTTTCCATTATTGAAAAGCTTAAGTTGAATTTTGTCTTCGTTTGCAGGTAAAGCCACCTGAGTGTGCTGTGAAGGTACAGAACAGTCATCTTCTCAAACGTGTTAACAGAAAGGATATTCTCTACTCCTTTATTTTAAATGGTAAGTTGTTCAAGGGAACTTTGACTGTGCTTTTGTGTGAATCTATTACAAATAGCTTTGAAAACTGTGCTAAGTCCTTACAGTGAAGACCAGTGATGAAGTTGGGAAACCATCCACAGGGTGGCATTGGGAAGGTTTGTTTTTGTGATGCTGAAGTTAGGCCTTGAAGCAAATATCAAAAGCACTGCTAGCCAAGGAGACTAGTATCGCTTAAACACTGATCTTATTTCTAGAAAACAAAAATAGATTTACTTTATTCATGGATGTTCATGAGATATTGGATTTATAAATTTGCATCTGTTAATTACTTTTTACCCTGTTTAATCTGTACTTTGCTGATGTATTGTCTCAGAGATTTAAACTAAATCTGCTGAGGTTAGATGTTTGACTGTTTACCTCAGAGTGCAATGGATAATAAAAGATTTATATTTACTGATATTAAGCTGGCTTTGGCAGAGGGAATCCTCCTGCCCTACAATCTATCTCAACTGTGACACCTACACCACAGACTTTTAGGTGAGGAATATCTGTTGTGCTGGTGGAAGAGTATGAAAACAGAGGTGGTGCACTTCTGTCGCTGTATAATGTAAGACGAGGGCTGAGCTGGGTGGTGCTCATGAAGAACTACTGCCAAAGTGCAGCCAATTTCGTTAGAATCTAAGTAAAGCTGATAATTATAACTTTTTTAGGGGGCTGCAGCTTTTCTGCTCCTACAAGGGGAAAGCAAAGCCTTTTGAGCAGGTAAGAAGCTGGAGAGCAGGTTTGTGCTTCCTTCTGAGAGAATGAGGAGGTTAGTAGTGTTAGCTACTCATAGGAGACACTGCTTTCTTTCTGCCTTGCACAAGCCACTGCCAGCCTTGCTTCAAGGTCCCTGAAAGAAAGCAAAGTCTGCAGCAGCGCTGTGAGATACTCTTGACTTTGCCTGTATCCTGGAGCTGACTCTAGCTCTGACCCTGGCTCTGATCCTTTGGCACACTTTGTCCCCTCAGCTGAAATTCACGTGTGCTTATTTTAAATTTCAGTTCTGATTATATGCTTGATGGTATTATAAAGTGCTTTTTGACACTTATAAACTGAAAGAGGTTGCGCCTTAAGAGAGGAAAAATTCAGTGGAGTTCTGGAAAACTCTATATATGCATGAATTCACAATGTTAGTGACAAACTGTATTTTGGAGGATGAAGGGATCAGGAAGCAATATGATGTGCAAAGAAATGTGAAAGTTATGGCAACGGTCTTTAAAGGAGAAGGATGAAAAAAAACCCATTCTTTGTGCTTTCTGTGTCTCCTGCAACTCCCATTAAATTGCAGGGTAACTTGATGGTCATATTCTGGAATTGTTTGGAAAAAAAAATCACATGCTGCAAATTTCAAAGGTGGAGGAAGTGTGTCAGGCAAAGTAAGTAGTCTGTTAAAAATTTGGTAAACCAAATAGGCATGTCAAAGACTAAAACCTTGCTTCTGTACTACATTATAAGATTAGCATATTACTTATTAATGAAGCAGATTTATTCCCCTTAATATATGTATTTACAGGTGTCTTGTTGTCACATAAGTGTGCTCATAGATGAATATGTGTGCAAAGGTTTCTCCAGTCGCTAATCCGTACCTGTGGCCACACCAGCAGCTGACTTCAGGACCCCTCATGTCTCCACTATCAGGCCCTCAGATTTATGGTCTCTCTAGTAGCTGGCTTTACAGACTTCTCCTACTTTGGGGATTAAAAAAGGCACAGTTGTCTTATTTTAATGTCAATGTGTCTTTTTTAAAAAAAAAATAAAGCTTAACAGTTGTGGTGGTATTGTTATGTTTCAGTTGCATTTCATACTGCATGGAAGCGTCATTGCTGGCTTTTACGTGTGGGAGGTTGTAGATATGAGTTGTTACATGAATGAGAATTTAGGTTTGGGAATATTTTGTCTAGGTCATATTTATTCCAAAAACTTGAAAGATTATTTTAAGATATTTGCTGCTCATTCTCAGTGTAGTTTTATCAAATATTTTCTGTTTCTTTGTGCAGGTTAAGTGCAACTTTGATTAAGCACGACTTTCACGTAGAGTTTAATTGAAGTATATCTAGTATTTAATAGTCTGGAGTTTAATGTAGCTGAAGTGTATTTAAAGATAGAATGCTGAACATACTTGAAAATAGTCAGTCTTTGATATTTTCAAAAAAATATTAAAACCTAATTTTAGCAGACATAACATTCTAATTTTTGGTTGAACACTGATCATGCATGTATTGCAAATGTTCTAATAGATTTGGAAACTCAACCTAGTCAATAAAATAGTAAGCTTATGTTTAAAATAATGATTGATTTCTACAGAAATGTAATATTTTTCTTTTTAAATTTCTGCTTCAAAGAATTTCACTTACAAGTAATAATTAAAAATTTAAATGGCTTTGCCTCTTTTGTATGCACAGCAAGGCATTTTCATTTTAAATCAAGTCACTGATTTTGTCACTTGGATTATAATTGTGCCTTGCCTTTTTCCGCTTCTGTGGATTTCTTAGTGTGTTTTGCTAATATAAACACCCCCCAAAAGTCGCAAGGTTGCTCAAAATAAGATACAGCTATTAGAAAGCTATTAGCTGTGTGAAAGGTGCTGATTCCTTAATGTGTCATCCTGTGTGAAGTAGGATGCGTTGGCTTTGCCGAACTTCCATTGTAACCCTACAACACTTCTCTACAAAAACACTTCCCACAAAGACAGTGGGAGAGTGCAGCCAGGCAGCAAATACCAAGTGCAGGGCTTGAAAAAGGACCCTGATGCTTCTTCAGTGGCCCCAAATGCCAGTTCACTAGACCAGCTGAAGAACTCCTTTGGAAATGCTCCTATGTGATCACAAGAAATACATGTGTATAGTTAGTTTGGCACACAAAAATGTTACATATTCAGTTACGTGTTTTGAAGAAAGATTATGCCTGTGACTGATGTGTGGGTAAGACTTCTTTAGAAATACTTCTGTTGTGAAAGCGATTTTGATGTTTTTAGTCAGGGTTAAGCCAAGTTTCTTTTTACAAAGACTTTTACCTGTACTATCTGACTCTTCAGTCACATAACCTGGATACTTTGTGGCTGGCAAATTACAGAATGATTTGGTAACTTAAATTTTTGATTTGAAACAAACTATCAAGAAAAGTTCCTTCTGAATTCATAGTGGTTTGACACTGGCCGGCGGCCAGGTGCTCACCCAGGCTCTCTATCATGCCCATTTCTCTGCTAGACAGAGGGAGAAAATATATTGAAGGGCCTGTGGTTTGAGATAAGGACAGGAAGATCACTTACATTTACCATCCTGGGCAAAACAGACTGGATTTGGGGAAATTAGTTAAATTTATTAAAGAACAAATCAGAGAAGAGTAGTGAAAAATAAAAACAGATCTTAAAAAATAACACCTTCCATTCTTCCTGGGCTTAACTTCACTCTCAATTTTTCCACCTCCTCCCCCAAGCGGTGCAGGGCGACAGGGAATGGGGCTGCAGTCAGTTCATCCGATGTCATTTCCACCGCTGCTTCTTCCTCCGGAGGAGGACTCCTCACTCTTCCCCTGGGCCATTGTGAGGTCCCTCTCACAGGAGATGATCTTCACACACTTTCTCCAGTGTGAGTCCTCTCACCAGGGGCAGTTTGTCACAGTGCCCCAACATGAGTCTCTCCATGGGGCGCAGTCCTTCACGGGGAAACTGCTCCAGCATGAAGCCCCCACGGCGTCACACAAGTCCTGCCAGCCACCCTGGTCCAGCATGGGCT